ACAGAAATGCACTTTCAAAATAAAATAATTTTGGTCCGTGCTCCTAAAATACATAATTACCGTCGCTGCCCCCAAGCTATGAAGGTATGATGAAATCACAAAATTTTTTGACTTCATCGAACGACATTGACTGCTTTCTACGGTAAATTTGTATGGATGGTATTTAGCTTGTGTTTGGCTATAGATTCCCAAATTTATTTTAAAAAATTTGATTTGGGTGAAGTTTGGTTTGAAAATGAAAATGTGTTTGGATATCAGTTTTCAAAACATATTTCACTATTTAAAAAAAATATATGAAACATGACTTATACCTACAAGTTCTAAAAACTATCACAAATACCCAACAATACCTTCATCAATAACATTCATTATATTATCGCAAACCATAGTCCTGAACATAAATAAATTTGGTACAAAATTATTATTTTTATAATGAACTACATAATACACTATTAGATGACCGAGAAGACAAAACAGCATTGTTACAAAATAATAAATGGTGGGCTCTTTTATAGAATACAAAAGTTTGGAGAAATTTTTAAAAAAGTAATAGTAATATTTTGGGCCAAAACTAGCTCTTGAGCTGGTTTTGGGATTTTGGTTTTGGGTTCCGGAATTTGCCAAAATATGAATAAAATTTATGAACAAACATGTATTTGCCAAAAAAAAAAACTAAATAAATTTTAGCAAAATCTATGGTCAGTCAAGTCCTTAGTATTAGCATTTGAAATATGTATCTTAGTGAAGACAGATATATTGGAATTTGTGCAAAATAAAAACTAAAAACAAAATTTTGGAGTTATCAACAAAATCAAACTTCTTTAGAATCCCCTTTTTATATTACATGTCAACATTATGTTTAACTTTTTCTTTACATATTTACTCTCTTCCGCTCTATTTTAATTCCTCTGTTTTATATTTATCATTTTCTAAAAAACTTATTTTATATATATACTTAAAAGTGTACGATTTGGTATAATGTTGGACATATTAATAAGCAACATTGGACATATTAATCAATAGTATACTAATTAATTTACTGGTATTTCTTTGATTAAGTATATTTTTCACAAAAGTATGCTATTTAACATTGTAGTGTATTTTTAATTTAGGTTTAAATTTAACGAATAGTAGTATATTTTGTTTTAAGTCTATATTTAACAAATACTTTATCGTCCCAATTTATGTGATGATGTTGACTTGATATGATTTAAGAAAAAAAAGGAAACCTTTTAAAATTTATGCTCTAAAATAAGTCATAAATATTTATATGACTACTTATCTCATTAAGGATAAAGTAGAAAATTTAAAATTAAATTATTTCTAAATAAGAAAGTATGATAATTCTTATTGGGATAGAGTATGATAATTCTTATTGGGATAGACTAAATGTAACGACCCGACCGGTCGTTTTAAGCTCTAGCGCGTCGCTCAGCAGTTTGGGGCCATGAGCAGCTTCACTTCAGGTATTATGACTTGTACGCATGGTCGGAATTGAATTCCGGGGAATTCGGAGTTGATTTGGAAAGGGAATTCTCATTTCGGAAGCTTTAAGTTGAAAGAATTGACTAAGATTGGATTTCAAAGTAAACGACCTCGGAATCGGGATCTGAAGGTTCCAGTAGGTTCGTATGATGATTTCGGACTTGGGCGTATGCGCGGATCGGGTGTTGGATGACCCGGGAGCGTTTTGGCGCCTATTGTGGAAGTTAGCATTTTGGAAGAAATTTCATAAGTTTGGGTTGAAGTGCATTTCAGTATTATTGATGTCCGTTTGGGATTCCGAGTGTGGGAGTAGCTCCGTATGGTGATTCTGGAGTTGGAGCGCGATCGGAAGTGAATTCGGAGGTCCGTAGGTCATTTGGCTAAAGATAGAAATTTGAAGGTTTTTGAGAAGTTTGACCGAGAGTTTGACTTTTTGATATCGGGGTCGGATTCCTATTCCGAAAGTTGGATCAGGTCCGTAATGTCGAATATGACCTGTGTGCAAAATTTGAGGTTAATCGGACGTGATTTGACGGGTTTCGGCATCGAATTTAGAAGTTTGAAATTTCAAAGTTCATAAAGTTTGGATTGGAGTACGATTCATGATTTTGACGTTGTTTGATGTGATTTGAGGCCTCGATCGAGTTCGTATCATGTTTTGGGATATGTTGGTATAATTGGTTAAGGTCCCGAGGGCCTCGGGTGGATTTCGGAAGGTTAACAGAATGAATTTCGGACCAAAGAGTTGATGAAATTTTCTGCAGAAAGCTGTTTTGACAGCAAATAGTGCAATCACGGAGCTGAATTTGGAAGTTTATATCTCGAAATTTATAAGGAATCTGAAAATTTTCAAAACATAAAAGTTGTTGCCCTTGCATTCTAATTTCCAGAAAGTTAAACCATTCATGATTTGGATATTTTATCAGAAAGTTATGATCGATTGAAGATGGCTGGTTGAGCAGTTTCGACAGAATTTTCTGATGCATGGAGCCGACTTTAGAAGCTCATATCTCGGAATATATAAAAAGTTATATGGTGTTCAACTATAAAATGAAAGATCTTCGAGTTTAGTTTCTAAATATTCAAACCGTTTGTCATTTGGATATTTCCACAAGGAGTTATGGGCGTTTTAACAGAAGGTGTACAGCAGGAGAAAATTATAATAGGATGTACAACTTGCACAGCGCATGGTACAACTCGATGAAGCCTGGGCAGATTGTTTTAAACACGAGTTTTGGCTCATTTCTTTCATTGGGCTTGGACGATTTTGGAGAGCTCAAGGAGGGATTTTCACCAAGCAACACTAGGTAAGTGATTTCTTCCTATTTTTGAGTTAAATATGTGATCTTACATGGATTTAGGCATGGAAAATTAGTATAAATTTGGAATTTTTGGGGAAGACCTAGAATTTGGAATTTTGGACTTTTACCTTGAATTTGAGCATGAAAATTAGAGAAAATTGTATATTTGAGTTAGTAAAGCTATGGGTAGAATTTATCTTCGAAAAATTTCGGAATCCGGTCACGTGGGCCCGAGGGCATTTTGGTCAACTTTTCGAGCGGAGTTGGGAACTTATATAATTTGAATTGTTACAAGTATTAGAGTGAATTTTTATTGGTTTGCCCGTTGTTTGAATAGTTTTGGGGCGTTGTGCATCAATTGGAGTCGTTGGAAGGGCTTGGAAGCCGGTTATGAAAATTTCGGAGCGAGGTGAGTCTCCTTTCTAACCTTGTAAGAGGGAATTATCCCATAGGTGAAATAATTAGTTATGTGCTCATATTTGTGGGGGCTACGTACGCACGAGGTGACGAGAGTCCGTACGTAGCTACTAATATGTGTAAGTCCGGGTAGTCTAGGACCCAAAAGCATGCTATACTTGGAATATCCGTGATCTTATTGACAGTTGAATTTTTTAAATCCTATCGAATTGGTAAATGAATTTCCAAGAGGATTAAACTTTATTTTCTTAAATCATTAAAAGAGAATTGGCTTTTATTTGGATAAATGTTGCCCGATAAATTCTTAATTTGCTGTTTGAGCATGTATTTCTATGTGTACCTGCGTCGCATGTATGATTCGCGAGCAGGGTGATTGTTTAGTTAAATTTGACCGCGTCACATGTATGATTCGCGAGCGGGGTAATAGATACATCTATGGTTCGCGCCGTTCGACCCTCGACAGTGCACATTTTATATTTATGTTGGATCGGGTCGTACGACCTCGGCATGAGTTGCGCATGCTTGTATTGCCTGCCTTGAGATTTATTGAGATTGATATCTGCTCTCCCCGACTTGAGATAATTGTTAATTAATGGATTATGAATTCGGAGACTTTTAATAAAAAGGAACTTTTACCTGTTTCGTGGCTCATTTGAATTTACTGTCGTTCTTAATAAATCTGTGATTCATCGCATGAATAATATTATTATTGGACTATTAGTAAGTGTCGATGTTGCCATCTCGTCTCTACTTCTTTGAGATTAGACGGGATACTTACTGAGTACACGTTGTTTTCGTACTCATGCTACACTTGCTATGTATTTTGTTGCACAGGTACAGGTATTATAGTGGCCTACTGCGCGTAGCAACATGGATGATACGTAGACTAGGTGAGCTGTATTTCTCGAGGCGACTGACAGCTAGTATAGTTTCTCTCTCTCAGCATTGTATTTACTTTCTGTCTAATTTGTGCTCCGGACAGTTACTGTATCTTTATTCGATTTCTTAGAAATTGCTCATGCATTTGTGATACCGGGTTCTGGGATGATTATGAAGTATTTTGTATTAACTGCTTAACATTCAATTGATTTGAAACGATTATCTTTTACTAAATTGGAAGGAAAGTCATAGTTTTCAAGAGTATTAAAACGAGAATTTAATTAAGTATTTTGGTTGGCTTGCCTGACAGTGGTGTCCGGCGCCATCACGACCCTTAGTGGAATTTGGGTCGTGACAACATGGTATCAGAGCACTAGGTTCCCTTAGGTCTCACGAGTCATGAGCAAGTCTAGTAGAGTCTCCCGGATCGGTACGGAGACGTCTGTACTTGTCTTCGGGAGGCTACAGGGCTGTTAGGAGCACTTCCCTTCTTGATTTCCTCATCGTGTGACTTGATTCCTTGAGGCTTATGCCCTTGTTTCCTTCCTACTCAATCTTACGCGACGCGAACCGCTTGTTATAAATCGAAAATTGAAGAATTGTAATGGTATCACAGATGTGGTGCGGGATGTTTCTCCCGGTATAATTGTGTGAACTATTGTCGTCGCCTTGCGGAAGGATTTTTCTATTGTCTCGGCTCGATAGTTGTGCTTCTAAGAGCTTGGAGGCTATGCACAGGTTGCTATGATGCTCGCGATGGGTTATCGCACAATATTGACTTGATGGTAGGAGACTTGCCTATGTGTTGGGGCGGTGAATGAGTTGAATCAGTGACTTTGAAGCCACGTTATTTGTGGATTGTAGCTTCGAAGTAAACTGCACAATAGAAGTTGTTAGAATACCTACAACATCTACTCATGAAAAGAAATTAACATATATGCAGTCGAAGTTAGACTATGAAGGTAAAAATAAACGTTGATTCTCTCCAACTTTGTACTCTTAGCTCTTTGTTTATTGAGCATCACATGTGACTAGTTCCGGTTAATTGGTAAAAACACACATTCAGACGCAAAAAAAATAAATTCAATTTTTGAAAAAATATAAAATAATAAGTAATGCACAAATAGTTAACTTTAGCTGAGAAGCAAAACCATATGTTGCATAATTTCTTTAACTGCTCGTGCAAGGGATGTTGCAGCCTCTCGATAATGCACAACTCACTGCAAGTACAAATGACAAAAATAAATGTCTGATCAAAATCTTATGGATACAATGATCTTCACATCAGTTTTCAATTGTACAAAATAAACATAGCTACTAATGGATAACACAAACTATTAAAATATTTAAGGCTTTCCATACATGTTAGATGCAATTCCAAATTTGGTTTTTCCCAAATCACAAAAATCACACTGCTACATCACCTCCCAACTTTGTAATTTAAAGAACCATCGATACTCCATCATTTCTTAATCTAATAAACTTGAATAGATATTTCTAAGCAAAAATATTGGTGCTCAAAATTATGTACTTAAAGTGAAAGATAGATGATATACTGTCAAATAGAAGGCTTACTAAATACTCGCAGTAGATATCATATCACTCCACGCTAAGAATCAAGAACTATGATTTCTATCACTTTGTATTCTTTGGATACTTCATTTTTTACAGATCACTCACAAGTTAATGCACAATATATATTTTATTCTTTCTTAAGAAAGCAAAAAGGCTTTCTAACCAAGGAGTAAAGAGTCCCACCTTGACTGATTTTAGGACTTTGAACACTAAAGAAAATCAAAAGTCTTAAGGTTATAGTAACCCCAATATAACTCACGATCAAAGAAATTAACACTTCTCAGGATATGAATGTCATCATATTTATATATCATCTTTTAATATTGACAAAAATAGGTCAGTTCAGGGCCTACGAATATTGTTCAAAAGTCCCATTTAAGTTGCAATTTCAAACAAAACCTATCGTGTCTCACTAAAAAATTTATTACTTAAGTATAAGCTAAAAAAGAAATGACAGCATGCTGCATGGAAACATAAGGCAGGACAAGGTGCCTATGGAAATAATTCATACCTAAGCAGTTCGGACCTCTTGAGCATAACTTGGTGAAATCGTGGTAACACTATTAGAAACACAATTGCACCCTGCAACAAGAAGAACCATATCCCCTGCATATTAAAAAAATTGAAAGGAAAGGAGCCACCCAAGATAAGTTATAACAACTTATCATTAGAATCTTGCTACCTTCACATCATTTATTCCATCACTTGCTTAATTGTCCTGCATTCTATCTGGCTTGTCGAATGATAAGCATCAAGACTGCAAGATATTTAACGCTAATGCTGGTGCAGTCCATTTCTATTGCCACAAAGAGATCCCAACAGAGTGGTTTCTTCATGAAATAATAGAATCTTGAATGTATAAAAACTAGTAGCAAAAGATATTTTCCAATTAGTTGTAGAAAAAAATTAACAAGGATTTATGAAAACATCAAGAACAAGGTGTTGATCCGTTTGCGAAAAATGTGAATGAACAACTATTAGATAGTTAAAAATGAAGAAGCCTCTTTCAGATTCATCTAACTGAATATTCATATAAAATAGTGCGGAACTAACTTTCGCCAGATAAATAGACCAGTTGAAGCTTTTACACTAGATAGAGTTCATCGACATCTATGCAGTGTATCGACCAATTATTTTTACACTAGCAGAACTACTAGAAACTACTGTAGTTTTCCAATATTGATGCTCTGCTAGATGCTACTGTACAAAGTAATACAAATGTGAATTATATAGATACTAAAATGTATGTTACTAAACATCACAATAGGCTATAATAATATCCACAAAGCACATTAACAAAGGCAATTTTTGGTAACTAAAATGTGCTCACGATAAGAAATTTAAATGCATACTTGAATTTGTATCTAGAGTGTGTGTCTGCAAAAGGTTTCAAGTGACATCTCCACGTTGAAAATCCAATTACCAAATTAAATCTTATTTTTCACAAGACCAAATTCACGAAATTACACCTTGAATTTCACCTTCTCTTTTTTATCGTTGCATCATAATATGGATAAATTTCGAGTTTGAAATATCAGTATAGATCCTAATGTAAAGTATATTGGACTAAACAAAGAAAGTTTAATTTCATAAGACTTACCGCAGAAGGAATAAAAAGTAGATAAGGTAGAAAGTACAATGTTAATTTTGACAAGTCATGAAACCCTAGCTCCTAGTGAGCGATCGAATGTATATTTGGCGCACGTCTAATCTGATCGACGTAACTAGAAATAAAAATCACACTAGGAACAAGTCAATAAGTTTGTTTACAAGCTCCAAATTCTATGCTTCAGAAAAAAAAGCCATCCAAAATGAAGAAAATCAAAGCTAGAAGTAAAAAAAAAGATAGACAGAGAGAGAGAGTAGAGAGATATTACCTGGTGATGGTGGCCGACAATAGTGCGAGATGATTTGGGTGCCGACGATAGAGAGAGAGATATATATGAGGGGTCTAATCAATTTTGTGCGTCTCTGTGGCAGAGATGATAGTTTTGCAATTTGGGGTGAATGTATCCATTCGGGAATATTTCACAGGGAAACAAATAAAGAGAAGATTAAAATCAACTTTAGGACTAATTTTTAGTGGCTATTACTTTGAATTGCTCGTAAAGAATCACTCTTTTCTGGCCAAAGTTAAATAGCCGCAAATATTTATGTTTGCATAATAAAGTAGCGGCAATTATTTAATTGCCACTAAAGGAATTTTTTCTTGTAGTGGCGCACTGCTGATCGACTAGTTTTACCGCAAATAAGCCTTTTAAAATTTACAGGGTGATTTTAGGAAGAGCGCGGACACTCATCAAGTGTCGCTATGGTATTAATACGCACGAGTGGAATATAATGCGGAGCATGCTTTATGCAAAAATAAAATAATACGTTGTCAAGTATTTTCACATGTTGAAAGCAATAAATGCAGTATTAACGAACGTAAAGACATAAAAGAAAGAAAAACCGGGAAGAAGTTAGTCCGCATAATGAAAGAATTGTAATAAAGCAAATAAAGGGGTAAGGACTGGGGAGAGACATGATATAGAAAAATTAAAAGGTTCGGAGCAAGTGAACATGATTAGGAAATAAGGGGGAATACAAGCTGTAATCAAATTAGGCGAAGAGTTGCATATGAATTCATATAAAAGGGAAATAGGGAAGAGGATGTGCATGTAGCAATAAAAAGGAAAAATAGGAGCGGGAGATTCATGTAACAACAAAATCAAAGACACGCTTATCAAAGAAGACTAATTCACAAAGATCAAGTTCATTTATGGTAAGAGCCTAAAAATATCTCAGCAGAGTTGCCATGCTGTCGCGCCCCTTTTTCTCGTGAAATCGGGCTTCGACGCGTGACAACTCTTTTAAGGAAGGGTTTTAAAAGAGAGAGTCGCCCTAACAGATTAAGGTGCGTTATGGCACCTATTTTGCAGATAACTCTGTTTAACCAGTTTGCGCCACCAAAGATCGGGTAAGGGCTCGAAATTACCTCGAAGAGAAGGTGTTAGGCACTCTTCGAGGTCCACAACTGTGGGTCCCGGCCGAACTCAATTATATGAATTAGTCTATATTATCAAAGATAAGAAAATAAAGGGATCTGGGGGTTCATTATTAAACACAAATAATTGATGAAAGACAAGGTAGGGGGTTCCTAAATTTTTTAGCCTAAAGGATCACCCCGTGCAACATAAATAATACTTCGTAACTCCCTCAAGATGGGGTGTTACTCATATTATTCAGCGGGCATAAGCTATCATCTCTTGGTGCCCAATTACTATCTTTAAGTTGTTTACCTGAAGCGCACTAGTCAATTCTAAGTCGTACCCTATGCGTGCACTACCCGTCCCATGCCTATGGTCCAGGAGGCGTTTTGGACCTCTATTTTGGATAGTTCTAGACCTGACTTAGGTTGCTTAAAATGAGAAAACGAGGCAACATACAAAACAAGTTGGACTTTACATAAAAAAAAAAAGCAGATAAGGGCTCAGATTAGCCTCCACACATTAGGCAGCAAATGCACGCAAATAGATTGGCGTATTAACAGTTCAGAATTTGGATCCTATAAACATGATTTCTATGTGATTCTGGATTTCAATCATACCGGTAGTTCGTGAAAGTAATTTCTAGGTGACTGTGTAGTTGCCTACTGATTTCGATTAGAAGCATTTAAACCCATGGCATGTGATCTAGGTAACTTATTCAACAGTTGACAACGACAACAACAAAGAATACTCAGAATTACTTAGTTGTCCCTATAGGCATGCTTTCTAGTGACATTCAGCAAGACACTATGTAGAGTCCAGTTTTAGTATTTGGCACAAATGATAATTATCCCTATAGGCATGAGTTCTACCTTCGGTGATTGAAACTGCTTATTAATTCCAAGAGATATGCATATTAACTAAGCGAGTATGACAATTAATTAAAACCTATAGACATGATTTATAAAGAAGCAGTTTTGAGTATGCTGCAAGTTGAACTTGGTTATTGCATTTCCTATAGGCATGGTATCTAATCATGCAATGGCAAACCTAAACATTTAAACAAGTATTCAGCAGAATATTTCTTGGCGTAAAGTAAAACCTATAGGCAGGTTATCTAACAATAATAATGGACACCTGTAGACATGTTATCTAACATATAATAGCAGAAAGACCTATAGGCATGTTATACAACATATAATAGCAGAAAGACCTATAGGCATGTTATCTACCCCTTTCATACAGAATGTTAAAGAAGCCCATCTCCCAATTTTATTATTGCCCCAAATGTATTTACAAATAATTATTACAGGATAGAATTGAATGAATAAATTACAAAGTATATAGACTATAGGAAGCCTGCAGCATGCCCAAATACACATGGACGGGCCAGGCCTTCAATTCACAATAACTCCAAAGCCCAATGTTCATAGTGACCAACAATGACTGATTCACCTTTGTTTCAAGGATAAATCATACCAAGCCCAATCCTCTAGTGTGTTAGAGTTCCCAAGGGCTTCACGAACCCTGGGCAGTGCCCACACTAGAGTAGAAAGATCAGAACCAATTCAAGGAAAACTATGGACCAAATCCTTGTGTGTCCGAGTTTACGAGGGTCTCATAAGAATCCTGAGCAGTGCTCACACCAAAAAGGACAAGGGATAGTACTTAGATTACTTTGGCTTTCAGCCAGCAAAGAATTAGGATTCAAAAGAGTACAAGATATGATTGGGAAGTACACTTAGGGATAGAATCACACATAGAACAGAGATCAACACTTTGAAACTGAGCAGACTTAACAAGTTTGAGAATTAACAAAGTCATAAACTGATAATGACCAACTCATGAGCATGCTTTCACAAAAGACAGTATAGAATTCAGATTAGGACAAATCATAGAAAAGGGGTTCATTGATCAATTAATGAGTCAAGAAGCATATTAGTTATCAGTAAGAACTAATAGCATGGTGAGCACAGAATCAGATAAATAACATGTTAAAATATTTAACAACAAACTAAGGTATACATGATGAACTAGTTTTTTAGGAAATGTATCAAACATACTTAATATTAAAAGACAGTCTTAAGTTACACATAATTAAGCAGGTTTTATCAATTAGTCTACCGAGTTAAACATGTCTAACACACATAGAGCAATGAGTCTAATAACAATAGCGCACTGAAGAAGCGACACAGTAGAGAAGTTTCAACAACTTACTAGTTCAGATGAAACAGAAAGAAGTTTAGCAATGCAGCAATGATCATCAACAACAGCAAACAATAGAAGATTTCTAGCCTTGGCTTCCAGCCGGCCAGGAATCAAAGCAAAATGATAACAGTATATAGTTTTAGTAGTGAGAAATACTCGAGTTCTTAGTATGTCTGAAGGGGAAAGGGGGTGGAGGGGTTTAAATAGCACGAGACTAGAGCCCACAAATAAGGTAATAATCAATCAAGGAAAGCACCTAACAGTTAACTAAGGAAAGAAAACTCAGAACCTTATTTAAGGTAAGCCAGAAGTAACAAGTGCATAGACGCATAAAACATATAGTCAGAGATTTTAACACAATAATCAGGGACTCAAACAGATTTGGGGAATCAAAGACTCCTAAGTTTTGGGGTAAGTGAAATTGGTCAACAATTAACGGCAAGAATCATAAAAACATATAGACAGAATCACTGAAGGAAAAAATGAAATAAAGAATCAAAAACCCTAATTTTTAGGGTAAGTAAAATTGACGGAAATAATCAAAGGCAAAGCTACAATAAAGATGCATAGCAACATTAAAGATTGAACCAGATTTGGTTCGATATTTAAGAATCAAAAAACCTAATTTTTAGTGTAAAAAATTAGTCAGAAATATCTACGAAAAATCATAATAGAGGTGCATATAGATAGAATCATGGAAACATAAAGAGAAATATTTAACGTAAAATAGAAAAACTATAACAGATCTTGAAAGATCTCAACCCTAGCTTTAGGGTAAATGAAGAATCGAGAAAATCTCAGAGACTCATACCATAAAGAGACGAAGAATGAACATAGATGGAAAGAAGTGAAGGTTCGAACCAGATTTGGTTCCAAGCAAGAGAGATCTACTTGACATGTTAGGCAAGTGATTATGTAATACCATAATCGGTTAACCAGTTAGGAGACGGCCAATAAGGTAAGGAAATCGTCAATGGATTCCATCTCTGAGTTGGAATCGAAAGGGAGTGGGATTACTGCGCTAGGGTTTCAGAAGAGGGGAAGAAGAGAGAGTTTGAGGGCGGCGGGGTTTAGGGAATGATGTATTAGGGTTAGAAATGGTTAATTAAAAGGGGAAGGGTGAACGGGGGTCGTTGATCTTGAAAGATCAACGGCCAGGATTAAAAAAGGGGGTTTGGGTCGGGTATAGGAATGGGTACCGGTTGGTTTATTGGGTCAGGGGTTATTTGGGCTAGGGTGTTAGATTTTGGGCCTGGGGTTGGTCCGAATTTAAATAAAAATGGGCCAGATTTTAAATACCCAATTTTAACAAATAAATAATTTATAAAAATAATAAGTGAATACCAAAAAATTCTTTGTGCACTAAAATAATTTAAAATAGTTATTTGACATTTTAAAAATATAAAAGATCATTTTCTGCATAAGTAATGTGATTATACACTAATATGGGCTATTATTGCAAAGATGTGCAATTTAGCCTAAAATACAAATGTAACTACAAAAAAATACACTAAAAATATTTAAACACTATGTTGGCAAAAATGGTGAATTTAGATTATTAAATTATCATAAAAATAATATGAAAGATAATTATTGAATATTTATACAATAAAAATACAAAAAATAAATTGATTTAAAGCCCTTAAAATTATAGAAAAATTCTGAAAAATACTTGTGCATGCTTGTAAATCCAATGATAGTGCATGTGCACTATTTGAAATTATATATGTATATTTAAAATATATGAGGAAAAAATTGGTGTCAACACCTCTTACTTGTTATTTTGCCCTTATATGCTTTAGTTGAAGTTACTGTCTTCCTAATTGTCTTGTTACCTCTTAATTGTTGAGGCCCTTCCATGGCTCCGTGCTTTATTTGCTACCTTCCTTAAATGTTTTGCTTGCACGTCTTAGTGGTCACGTGCTTT